CCACAGCTTGTCTTTCAAAATATACTCTGTGTGGCCCACCACATAATATTGGTTAATCAAGCAACAAACACAAGTATGCATACCTACTGTATTCCCCCTGTCATCAGCTGTGTGTCTGTTTCTCTCTGCAGTCTGTTCTCCTGCTGCAGTTCAGCAGACTGGGTGTTGTTTTGGCCCTCTGACCCTGAAACTGACCGTGACGCGAGTCAGGCTCAAGACCTGCTGCGCTGTGAGATCGTCAACCCCCTGCGGAGGTCTGTCAATGTGTATAAATGTTTGTTTTTTACCACCATGAGTAACCACACTGCTTTGTTGGCTACTGGTGACACAGTGTTGCTACTGCTAGTTCTGCTACTGAGATTTTAGATGTTATTTTTAAGGTATGGCTACGTGTGTGCCAGTAAGACCATGGCCTTGAGACGTCAGCTGGAGGCTGCGAACAGCGACATGGGCTTCACCAACCAGGAGAAAGGTACGTGTGCCGCTGGTGTTACCCTCCATAAACACAGCAGTGTGTGATCAGACTGAGGAATGCTGTCATGCCGCTGTCGTTCTGTCCGTCAGATCCTGAGGAGTTCCTCAACAAGCTTTTCCAGCTCCTCCGAGTGGAGCCACTCCTCAAGATCAGGTGACGTCACTGCCGCTGACACACACACACACACACACACACAGCTTCACTATCACTATTGTTTGTGGTTTTACAGGAAGTTATTTTGCTCTCCACAGTGGTTCGATATCAAACATTAGCTCCTCATCTTCTCTCGTCCACTCTCCTCTTAACCTGTCATGTCTAAAATCTGTACTGTCGTCTCCTCTCTGTCAGATCGATGACTCAGCAGCCTCAGGAGTGTCACCTCTACCAGCTCTTCCCGCCCACACTCCCTTCCTCTCCCACCTCGCCCTTACCCGTCTCGCCACTTCACTCCCCCATCCCCCTCACCTCGCCATCCCACAGTCGGATGAGGGTCGCCAGCGTCCAGGCGCTGCTGGAGTCCTCCTTCCTCCACGCTGGCCTCAAGTTCGTCGAGGTAACAAAAGCAGTTTGTTACATGTTGTTAAAATAAATTAGGTTTTGAGTCACCTGAGACACCACTAAGTATCAGTCCATGTGTGCTAATCACCCCACCAGGCTCCGTCCTGCCTCTTACTGCTCATGCCTCGGTTTGGAAAGGACTTCAAGATGTTTGACGCCATCTCGCCCACCCTCAGCCTGGACATCACAGACCTGCTGGACGACAGTGAGAACAACTTGTCTACATATTAGCAACATTTTAATTTGTTTGGGGTTTTGGTTTTTCTACACGTGTAGTTTCAGTTGACCCCACATTCACTTCAGTTTATGTTGAACTGTGCCCAGTGTTTGTTGGTGGCAGTTAAGTTTTCACTGTCTGTCTGTCTTTGTCCTTCCAGCTCTGAGACAGTGCAGTATCTGTCAGGCTGTAGCTGAGTGGGAGTGTTTCCAGTGTTATGAGGACCCAGACATCACTCCTGGTCATCTCAAACAGTACTGCCAGACCTGCAACACACAGGTACACACTTCTTAAGGCGGATTTATACTTGTGCGTGGGCGGCGAGGTTTCTGTTAAGTGCTATAAAGTTTAGTTGATTCAAAACATACATTAAACACACATTAAACATGGCTTAATAGAGACAATATCAAACACAAGTACACAAATCAGCTTCACTATAACTCGCAGCATTCACAGACAAACACTTGTCTTTATCTGGACACATTTTCCTCACAAATACAACATGCTAATGTTTTTAGCACAAGCCTATGGCATTTTACATTGTATAAATTAGCCTAGCAGCTAGTGGACTTTTCCTCTACTCATATGAAGCCAGGGACAACAGCAACATTTAACAAAGGTAAAGTTACAAAATTCGGCTCCATTACAGCTCACAATGTTCACTGACAAAACAACTGTCTTATACTAAACATGTTTTCCAAACAAATACAACATGCTAACGTTATTAGCACAAGCCTATGGCATTTTACATTGTATAAAAAATTAGTCTAGCATCTAGTGCAGATTTCCTCTGTTCATATGTATTTATTGTTTCTTATCTGTGAAATTAAAGTAAATAAAAGCTTTGTTTCCACTGGGGGAAATGGTTTCAGCTTACAAACATAGACAGGAGGTCTGCGTGGTCTTTGTTTGGCCATACTACTGCTTTGATAATGTTAAGTTTAACTGTGCAGCCCTATAAGTAACGCATCCCTTAGAAGTAAGACATTGCATATCATTTATTTATGTTTAGTAAAAAGTTACATTTGGAAATGAATTAACCTATTTGCTTTGAGTTGTGTCCTTGAAAATGAATTTTGAATTATGAGAAGGCTGAAGTTCCTCTCAGCTCTGCAGAGCATTTTGATGACTTTCAGCTTGTTGTTTTGGTTTTCTGGTCCTTAGCTTTACTATTTTTGGCTCGTTTTCACTGCACTCGTGAGCTTTGTTTCCAGATGCAGCGAGCAGATCAGAAAATAAAGCTCTGACTTATGCTGCCTGTGTAGCCCTTCACAGCTGGAGAACATAGTGGAGACAGAAAACTGTTATTGCAGGATTAAATAAATATGTAAAGCACTCTGACCTTAATTTTCTGACTCTTATGTGTCATCAGGTCCACAGTCACCGGAAGCGGGAGTCCCACAACCCGGTGAAGATCGCCGTCCCCGGAGAACCATGGACCGGCTCCCTGCACTGCACCCGCCAGCGAATGTCTCTCTTCGCCGTGACGTGCATCGAGACCAGCCATTATGTGAGCTTCGTCAAACACGGGCCCCTCCCATCCGACTGGCTGTTTTTTGACAGCATGGCCGACCGGGAAGGTGAGTTATCCTCACTTTGATACATTCAAGTAACAGGATAAAGACACTTAAACAAGCACTGTTAAAACGCTCTCACATCTCTCACCCAGGTGGCGAGAACGGCTTCAACATCCCCCACGTGAAGGCATGTCCAGAGGTAGGCCGCTACCTCAGCCTGTCAGAGGAGGAGCTGAGCAGAGTCGACCCCACCTCCTTAAGGGAGTCCGTCCGCCGCCTGCTCTGTGACTCCTACATGTGTCTGTACCACAACCCCGAGCTCAGCCTGTACAAGTGACACAACACATACACACAGATCTGAGCACGGAAGTGTTGTCCTCAGGGTCTTAGTGTCATCTGTCAGGTGACGCCCAGAATATGAGTAACGATAATAAGCCTGACCATTTTTTCACTTTATCCAGTACAATATGAAATGTTCATAAAGCTGAAGGACAAAGTTTCTTTTCCTTTTTCTGAAGTCCTCTTCATACTCGGCAGTGAAATGCATCTTAGGTTATTCTAGCCACAGTTTGTGCCTCCGATTTTCCAACAGATAAAAACTGAATATATTTTTCTCTCAGATTATTTAAAACGTGACAATCAGCTGAATGTACGTGAGAAGAGCGGTATGATCAAATGTACCAGTGAACAAACGGCCTGTAGTTTTATTAAGAGCTTTGTACACTAGTCTACATTTCTGACAGTGCCTGTGCCTTAATGACACTCACACACTGTGACACACTGTGCCTTGGAACATGTAACACACACTTTACACTTCAATTTGCACTCCTTTACTTAAATGTCAGTGTGTGTGTGTGTGTGTGTGTGTGTGTGTGTATATATAAAGAATTGCCTTAAACTGACTATGAAGATTGCACACAGATGTTTAAACTTTTGTATTGCTTATGGTTTAATATAATACAACTGCAAAGAATGGGGACAGTGTCCTGACAAATAAATACTTTGATACTCCTCTAGTTTGGTTATATTTATGTGTTTGTATTTATGGATGAAACTTGTTTATTTAGGATTTATAAAGTTTGTGGTTTGATATGGCAACTTTTTTTTTTTTTTCCTTACCAATTTTAGCAACAGTAACATAAGACACTTAATTAGAAAGTATTTGTTTGAAGACATTGGGACTATAATCGTCTCGTTGTAGGATATTGGATCTTTATTATCATTGACAATGTTTAGTTGTTTTAAAATGCATACCAAATAAAAGTTTGGGTCTCAGGAGGATATGTTAAATGTAGTAGTTGACATAGATGATCAGCTCAGAATAGTTTGACTTCCTGCTCGTAAATTTTGATTTATGAATTAAAAGTTTGGTTAAAATAACAAAGTGATAATATAAGTTGTAGTTTTGTGGAAACCTAAAAAATAAAATTAAATAAAAATGAGTAAAAAAAATATTAAATTAAAAATAAATAGAAAATTAAAAGAAAATAAAAATGAATTAAAAGAAAATACTGCTGAGAAAAAAATACTGCTGAGCGCAGGAATTTTTGTCATATTCAATAAATCAAAACGTCCCCCCCCCAAAAAAATCCAAATCTAGAGCCGATAGATATGGCAGAATATAGAATTTATTCCACATTTGTTTTGTATAAAGGCAAAACTAAAACAAATGCACCATTTTTTTAAAAAAAAATTCTTTGCTTTTTATTTTCCTTTAATTCATTTTTATTTTATTTTATTTTTTATTTATTTTGATTTCATTTTTTCATTTTTATTTTATTTTATTTTATTTTTTAGGTTTCCACAAAAACTACACCTTACATTGTCATCTTTCTCCAGTTCCTGAAAATTGTAACTGATTGGATAAAACCTGCATATTTTAAAAATATATCTCTTTAATACTGTTGGTCAGGAAATAGCTTGTTGATAACCAATATATTTCCAATAACACAAAACAGTTGATAAGAGTGTCTAATTTTATACTCGCGAGAAACTAATTTTCCTAACGGCTGTTTCAGTTGCATCCAACTCGTGAAATTTTATTGAAATCCTGTTGAACGAAAACGTAACTTGAAGTTTTATAATATTTATCTTATATAAAATATATCTATTGTCCTAAATTAAAGCATTTGTCTATAAAAATGAATAATTTCGACGATTAACTGAAGTATTTCTCCGGAAGTGCTCCTTGAGCGCAAACGTGACATAATATCCGGTGCGCCAGCGTAACTGCGTCATCGCTGCGTGCTCCGGAACCAGCGAGCCCCACTCGACAAGACGAGGGGTCAATTTGTTCCTTAGCAGAGCAAGCGATATTATTGCTCATTTTATCGCAAAATAACCACAAATAAAGCAGACAGCAGTGGTTTGGATGTGTCTATAAGGTGAGTTCAATGTTATTTGACGCTTTGTTCGCTTATTTTCGATGTAACGTCATGTTTTAGCCGCTTAACAACAGCGACGTCAAATGAGTGTAACATCCTAATTTGCATCGCATTTATATAATTTATTTGTCTCTCATTTGAATTGTCGTTGTGGCGTTGATCTTACTTGTAAAGGAGAAACCGGTTGATGTTGCTCGTTGCTGCTATCAAATCGGCTTTATTAGTAATCAATAATCTTTCTTGTAACAGCCTCTCTACGGCTTTTTATGTCGTTTAACGGCACAAATGTTAAGGTCACGGACACCCTTAAATAACGGGAATATAGTGATATGTTTATTGAACTTGTGAGGTCAATACACAGCCTTAAAATGGATGAAATTAGTTATGGGAACAGGTGCAAAACAGTTGGAGCATTTCCTGTCACAAAGAGTTGAGATAAATGTGTTTTCCAGTTAAACCATAGCAAATATAACTGGATAACTGTTTTTTTTTCAGGGCCAGGGTATAAAAACTCACTGAGTATAACATAAATCATTAAAAAGAAATCAAAATAAAACATAAAGTCAGCTAAATGTCAGTTATACATTTGTTTATTTGCTGTTAAACTGGATCCGTCACTGGTTTAAGGCTCATATTGTCCTCATATTGGTTTTGTAACCAGTCATATCTGTTAATATTTAGATGGTTTATTAGCTGTTTACAGACAGGAAGACCAGAGACCTCTACATGGTGAACAAAAAGGCTCTGCCCCTCTGATTTCTGCTGTACTTTATGTCTTTTTCTAGGTGCTTTCTGTCTCTGAGGTCCAGCAGTGCAGCCAGTTGCCATGGCGTCTCCAGGGGGACAAGGAGGAGGAGCTCTGTCAACGAGAGGAGGCAGCGGTGCCAGGAGGATGAAGTGGGCTCTGGAGCTGAGCTTGGGCAACACCAGGTAAACAGCAATGTGTGGAACGTTTCTCGCTCTTATAATCGAAATACAAACACCTGAATGGCAGACGTGTTTCTGTTGTATGCACATGGAAATCGAAGGCCATAAGCACTGAAGACGGTACACAAAAACAAATCCACGTGGCCGAGGTTTCTGTGGAAACCGTGACATGTATAGCGATAAAGGCAACAGAAAACTCCCACAGCCAGATACGTAACAGACAAAGATTATCAAAGATATGAAGCAGGGTTTTGCTGAATGACGCCCAAATTGTTTTCTTTGTTGTTACCTCTTAAAAATGAATGATAGAAAGTAGAAATGTGTCGCGGCAGAAATTTCCCTGCTCATTACATGCACAAATGTTCTGTTTGTTCTTAGGCATCAAGCTCAAGAAACCCGGTGCTGGCAGAGAGAACTCTCCAGGCAGGGCGCACTGTGTGTGTGCTTGCAAACAATAAATAAATAGATAAATAATTGTGGAAAAGATGCCCTTTTTTCCACTCGGGCACCTGACCTGCAAAATGCCTGTGCATGGCACTGGAGCTCACTGCACCAATTAGTGATTTGCATTGCTTATATGCTTTAACACTGATCTGTAGCTGACAGCGACAGCAGCTCTTTGTCAAAGAAGCCTTTCTCCATATTTTAAAAGGACAAAACACATATAAGATTTTACAGTCATTCACAGGGAATAAAAGCTAAACTCTTTGTGCTGCAGGAGTCGCAGTGATCGTCAGGGTGGTCAGGGGGACGTCGTCTACCCCATCGGCTACTCTGAGAAACCCGTCCCCGACACCAGCATCCAGGAGACGGACAAGAACCTGGTGGAGAAGGTAAAAATGGAGGAGAATATATACTTTCTTTCTATTCTTTGGATGTAGAGATTGTTCTCTTTTTTGCCAGTGTTTTCTCTTCTCATGGTGTCCTGCTTATGTCTTCAGCCAGGCTATATTCAGATTTGTGTCCTCACGAACAAAAGATGAGCAAGATATTAGTGTTCAGTTTTAGTGTTTGTCTAACTATGACGTGTCAGTAAGAAAGAGGTGGTTATGGTTGGGGTTAGGTTGATGGGAAGAGGTCATCTCGTTTGTTACAAGGTGAATCACGTCTGCATTATAAAGTGGTTTATTACTACGTTTGGCCTTTTTTGTTTATTACATAACATTGTAGCAGAGTTTAGAGATAGCCGCCATGTTGGTGGGTTTGACTTGTACTACTGGTGGGCACGGTTTGTAGGGCGTGTGTCATGTGTGCTACAAACAGAATGTGTCTGCAGCTATACTAGGGCTGGGCGATATGGGCAAAGACTGGCGATACATGATATATATCTCAGTATTTTCTACAAAATGGGCTACATGTTTTCAGGTGCAAGTCAAAGCCACATTTGAGCAGCATTCACAGGCAAACACTTGTCTTTATCTGGACACATTTTCCCCACAAATACAACATGCTAATGTTTTTAGCACAAGCCTATGGCATTCTACATTGTATAAATTAGCCTAGCAGCTAGTGGACTTTTCCTCTACTCATATGAAACCAGGGACAACAGCAACATTTAACAAAGGTAACGTTACAAAATTCGGCTCCATTACAGCTCACAAGGCTCACTGACAAAACAACTGTCTTACGCTAAACACGTTTTCCAAACACGTTATTAGCACAAGCCTATGCCATTTTACATTGTATAAATTAGCCTAGCAAATAGCGGAAATTTCCTGTGCTCATACGAAAGGAGAGCAGACAGCCCAGGGGGCTAGTGTCACGCTCATCAAGCGAGGGGTCACGTCGCTTCCCAGTATTGGACACTTGATGGGTGTGACACTAGGTGTGTGGGCAGTCTGCTGTTGGAATTCAAGCCAGACAAACATGGCGGCTCCTTTTAAACATACTCTTATATTAAGAAAATAGGTCGCTGAAATGTGTTTCCAGGGGCGGTGGGTCATTCTGGACATCCCTGATTTGCATAAAGTAGCCTAGATTCAACTTAATGTAACAATCTCTGTCTCTGTCTTGCTCTGTCGTACAGCGTTGTTGGGACGTGGCTCTCGGGCCCCTGAAACAGATCCCCATGAACCTGTTCATCATGTACATGTCAGGCAACACCATCTCCATCTTCCCCATCATGATGGTCTGCATGATGGCCTGGAGGCCCATACAGGCGCTCATGTCCATGTCTGCCAGTGAGTATCCAGCATGAACAACTAAATATATAAATCCTGATTTGCTCTTTCTGGCATTTCATCCACTCCTTTGTCCTCTTGTGTCTCAGCCTTCAAACTGTTGGAGAGCTCCAGCCAGCAGTGGCTCCAGGGCCTCGTCTACCTGGTGGGTAACCTCCTGGGCTCAGCGTTGGCCATCTACAAGTGTCAGTCGATGGGACTGCTCCCGACACACTCGTCCGATTGGCTGGCTTTCATAGAACCACCTCAGGTAAATGAATAAGATTTATTTCTTTCACTGAACGGCACTAAAAATGGAATTTGTGGTCTGTGGTGTTGCAGATTGTCCGTATTAATCTCATTTGACTGTTTTAAATCTTTAATTTTGATCCACCACCTCCTAAATAAATCAAACTTTTTAGTTCTGGGGTTTCAGCTTGTGTCATAAATTGTGGCTGCTGTTCACCTGCATGCCAGTAGAGGGCAGGATATGACCATTTTGTCATTCAGTCATGAATCATAAGTCATGTAAACAGGTATGAAATCTAAGAAGTACTACAATGGTGATTTCTTCATCTCTGCCATGCTTGGTAAATATCTGTCAGATTACCTTGTAACATAGATTTGAGTTTCACCGTCCTTTTTAAAGACGCAACTGTCAGTCAAACAAAGCCTACAGAAACATGCCTTCACGGTGGACACAATAACAGGACCCAAAGTTACGGCGGATCATTAAACAGTCTTAAAAGGTATTGAATAAATGTATCTAAAGATAAAGCCTTAATTGGGATAAAAATGTCTTGAATCAGTCTCCTAAAAGTCTTAAAAATGCAAAGACATGGGAAATAGGATTTAATGAACAGTTCTTTTCCTGATGCATTGAAAAATCTCTTGAAAATTGGTAACATCTGTTTTTGTTAGGGATGCAAGATATTGGATTTTTTTTTGCTGATATCCGATACGCAGATATGTAACAACTCATTTGAAATTTAGATGTTGAGTCAAGAGACAACAGCCTCCCATCTCATGTCGAAACATCAAAATTCCACGCACAGCCAGGGCAACACCGTTAAAAGAAAACACACAATCTTCACAATAACGCATCATCTCTGTCTTGAGGCGTTTTCAGCCAAATTTAAGGTGGATGTGGATGAGTTCTCCAGGAGGAGTTTGTTACCACGCCTGGAACTGCTAAAAAGGCAAAGGTCTAAAAATGAAAAGTAAATTCAAAATGGCTGACTTTATATTGGGTGTAGGGTTTGGCATTTCAGACATCTAGGTGAAACCAACCTGGTCTCACTCCGAAGTCGTGGAAATGCGGCGCTTGGGCAGTGACTAACGGCGTCAGACACCGAGGGAAAAAAGTCGTCCTGTAACGTCGGCATGATGCGCAGCTGGCCGTCCGACAAACACCGACTCTCATCTGAGAGAGCGGTGTTTGCATCCCTTAAGATTCTAAAGCCAAACCCTGTTCTATTTTCCTAAACCTAACCACGTGTTTGTTGTTAAAGGAAAAAAACTCAGTTTAGGGTGTTGTACTGATGTAGTGTGTTTATTTTGAAAGAGACTATGTAAAAGTTAGTGATGGCCAAATGAAGCCTCATGAACCACTGTCTTTATTTTCTGAAGCCACTAGATGATGCTGTCTGTTCAACAAAGGTTTGAAAGCACATTTCATTGCCAGTCCTTCAGCCTTTATCTTTAAACCAAGAGCGCCATCTGGTGGGGTCAGAAAATACAGAAAGTGGTTTATGAGGCTTCATTTGGCCATCACTCGTAAACGTTAAAAGTCCATGACCAAACATCAATATGGGAGGTCAGAGTGAGGATGTGTTGGTGAAACAACAGTAGAAGGCAACTTTTTTAAAGTTTTAAAGGGGGCACTACGGAGCCACTTTGTCCCACTCGAGCATGAGGCCCAAATAATATCAAATTATTCATCAGTTGTGATGCATGTGCAGAGCTCTGTGAGTTTTCGATCACATTTAGACTCTAAAAAATGTGACTCTTCTTTTGAAATAATAATAATTAACAGCAGTTTCAATAGTGTCCTCCGAACACAGATTTAACGTAACCATTTTCCTTTCTTCTCAACAGAGGATGGAGATCATGGGTGGAGGGATGGTGTTGTGAAGATGACGGAGCACGCACATTGAATAGATTCAGATATTTACAGAGGTTATATACTGTACAGTCTCCTTCTGCTCAGATTCACAACAGGTTACAACACGTTTGTTAATAAATCAGCGGCAGGATGTGCGGCACAGCTTTCTGCCACACACACACTCTGTTTTCCTTTATTTAACAGAGACGTTTAATTTCCCATCCTGCTGCCTTGCTTCATGGTTTCAACCTCTGTTGTTCATTTGTCTTTTAATAAAGGTTTAAATGCCAGCAGATCATCACACTGAACTACTGTATTTTTATTTCTAGGTAAAACAACAATAAGAGGTTATTAGAATACAGAATTAACATCATTAAAACATTTCTTTATCAAAGTAAAACTCTGTAAAACATTTTGTCAGGAATGAAGTCTTAGTAGGTTTTATTGCAGAAGGTTTTTTTAATCCATTTTTTTTTTTTGTCTCTCAGTTTGTAGTTACATGATTTCAGCATGCCAACCAACAACATTTACTAACCTGCTTAATTTATGAGTCTCTTTAAGTTATACTGATTTGCTAAATGAAAATGTTCTATAAAATAAATCCGAAATAAAATGCTTTCAACTGTGTCAGTAAATGTGTCGGATGAAAAAGAGTTTTGTTCAGCTTTTCTCCACCAGTTTTTATATCTGAGTACGCTGAGATTCATTTGTATTATTTACTTCTTTTGTTACATTTGTTATGTTAATAGTGACTGGCAGCTTGTTTTTTTTTAGAAGATGTGGAGAAGTAGAAATCAAACAACTTTAGGGGAAATGAAGGAGTTTTGGTGTCAACATGTGTCACAGTTTCATTCTGATGTCTACAGTAGAGACTCTTAAGAAACATTGATTGAGCAATCATGTTGGCAACTTGTAAAAATCATGAATTTGTTTGCTTAAGATGGTAACGTGTTTGAGTCACAACCACAAGAAAACAAAGATTGATAACTCAAGATAACACGATTAAACAAGTCAAGGTTGCGCAATATGACGCCATATACAAACACGAATAATGAGATAATGGCCCCTGGGCACAGATATGCAAAGGGCCTCACCACTGCTGCAACATAGGAACAAGACACAGACTTTGTGGTGGTGTTGTGTCTCATTTAACCCTGTTCCCCAAAATAGGCTCCAAGTTTTGAACCAGTTCTGCTGATTCGTAGAACCTCTGTGCTATCAAGCAAACCAGCCAGCATTTTCAACAGTTCTGGGCAGAACCATTGTAATCAAGGATGCATGGGTAATGGAGGGCGCAGCAGAATGCACAACGGAAGTTAACCACAGGGACATCATAGGCAAGGGTGAAATGCCCAACATTGAGCAAAACAGAAAAAAAGAAGAAGCAAGGCTACACTGCAGTGCTACTGACAACACGTCCTCCATGTCCACGATCGTCCATCAAGACCACAAAGGTCCCCGTGATCCCAAAACGTGACCACTGGAAATCCAGAGCCCCTTCAGGGGGGGGTAGAAATCTTCCAGCCATCTATGACCCACCATCCATCTCGCATGTTCCAACACGTAGGGGGACAAAACAAAATTCATCAAACAAAACAAACGCACGAAGAAAAGATCACTTCAAAGTCAATAAGATTTCCATTTTTTCCAATACTGTTCACATTTTTCAGTGGCGTGTCTCAGGGGAAAAGTCAGTTGTTCCATAACATAAATTTCCTTAACTATTTCTATCCATTCAGAGACTCTTTACTCAACCATTTCCTGGTTATTGCTTTTTTAGAACCTGCTAATTTGTAATAAATATCTGTCCTGCTTTGATAGTCCAGTTGGCACATTTCCCAAATACATTATACTGAAGTTAAAATCCAGTTCTAAACTCATTATTGATCTGATCTCTGTAACCACAGGAAATTTGAGGACACTCCCAAAAGATACGAAAGTGACCAGCAGACATGTTGCCGCACATTCTCCAACACTGACCATGTTCTACGAATATTTGTTTCTAATAAAATAAGCATGGACCAACCAATAATGGCTTAACTTTTTTTCTAAAGATGCTATTTTTTTGGTTTAGTTTAGTTTAGTTAAGTTGCACATACATGTATAGAAAATGCAGGAAAAAGAAATCCCAGCAAGCATTTTTTGGTTTAAAAACCGTCTAATAACCATCTACATGAAGACCTGATGTCTAGGCTAAATCACAGCTGAATTTGGGTTGTCATTGAAAATTTGGTAGACGTCTAACCATAGCCAAAGTGTAGACGTCATCAATTATACGGCTATGTAGAGACCATGTCCAAAAAATGGAGATAAACATATTTTATTACTGTTGACTCTCTATACGTGATTGAATATCAAACCGCACGCCATCTGCAATGGTGAAAATTACATTTAATCAATTTCAAAATTAAATCGGCTAGATTTAGGTTACATGTAGCTAGACTAAATCGGAGCTAAATATAGCCAATACGTTTGAATCATGACTATTGCTTGCTGGGTTAAAACAGTCCCTCGAGTGTCTGGTGGAATATGAGTGAATATCTGAGGGAGAATTTAAAAAGTTCTGGAAAACGCTCTGCAAGTCATGATTGAGATGTACATATTTATATATGAATACACAACTGTGGTGTATGTTCACATTAAAAATTGGTAAAAGTTGATATTTTCTAAAGAGAGAGGCAGATGAGGTTCCAGTTTACAACCAACTTTTCAATTTATTTTTGGCTGAAATGCTTTGAACTTTTCAAAATTAGGTGCAGGAACTGGAGCGTAACCAGTTTCGTGTTGGTGGGAAAGGGTTATTTGTGGTTATTTTCAGTCTCATCCTGGTCGACGTGTGTTAATTTGAGTGAATGTGAGGAAGTACCTTATTTGTTTGTATATTTTCAGGTAATTAAATTGTTGATTTAGCCAAAAATAGATGGTTCTACCTGCTAATTTTGTTGGACAATTGGTTTTCAAGAAAAAAAACTATGTGATGATATACACTGATATAAGAAAAATATTAAATTAAAAT